AGTTTTGTACACCCATTTCACACCAATCACAAGTTTATCAGATGGTCTTTCACTAATTCCCAAGTCTTATTTTTCTCAATCATGCTGATTTCATCTTTCATAGCTTTCTTCCATGCTTCATCCTGTGCAGCTTCATAATAGGATTCTGGTTCAACAATACACACATGACATCTTTCATAGATTTCACTCAAACTTCTATATCTCAAAGGAGTATGATCAATCTGAGATGCAGAAATTGAGTCACTAGCACTTCCAGATTCAATGAGTGAAGAATCTGTAAGTTGAGTCTGAGAACCTTCAGCAACAGCTTATTCCATGGAATCTGAATCCTCATCAGCTTCTTTCATCTCTGAAGATTCACTTGCAGCAATTGGAATGTACACTTCTTTGATCTTCTGTCTATCCCAATCCCATGTACCATTCTCATCAAAAATAACATCTCTTGAAATGATTACTTTCTGATTTTCAGGATTAAGCAATATGTACCCCTTTTCACAAGTGCCATATCTAATAAAAATACCAATGACACTTGTTTCATCCAGCTTTTGTCTCAAGCTTCCAAGAATAAGGGAATAACCTAATGAGCCAAACACTCTCAAGTGTTGAATTCCAGGTTTTCTTCCACTGAATTTCTCAAAAGGTGTCACATTTTCCAATGCTTTTGTAGGACATCTATTTAGCAAGTAGACAGATGTAACTACAACTTCACCCCAAAGACTATAAGGAAGACCTTTCTCATGAAGCATACACTTTGCCATCTCCACTATAGTTTTATTTTTTCTCTCTGCAACTCCATTTTGTTGTGGAGAGTATGCAACAGTAAGCTGCCTCTCCAAACCCAAAGCTTCACAAAACTGTTCAAATTCATTTGAGGTAAATTCTCCTCCTCTATCTGTTCTCAATTTCTTCACTGAAAAACCACTTTGAAGTTCCACCATAGCTTTGAATTTCTTGAATACATGAAAGACATCTGACTTGTGTCTCAAGAGATATATCCAGCACATCCTTGAATAGTCATCAATGAATGTAACAAAGTATCGATTTCCACTCATGGTTGGTGTTTGCATAGGGCTACACACATCTGAGTGTATAAGTTCCAATGGCATTCTTGCTCTCCAGATTGACTCCCTTGGTAAGGACACTCTATGATTCTTACCAAATGCACATCCCTGACATACACCTTCACTGTCATGCATTTCAGGTAACCCAAGAAACCATATCATGCTCCTGCAATTGTTGTTGCAAACTTCTAAAATTCAGGTGGCCAAACCGTTTATGCCACATTGTACTACTCTGATGCACATTGGTTTTCAGTACCAAATGATCGTTTGACTTGAACACAAGTGGAAAGCATCTGTTCCCCTTTTGTTTCACACTAACCACTAAATTTGTCAGAGTTCTATCATCAAAAATATCCACCTTATAATCATCAAATAACAGAAAATACCCATGTTCAGTCATCTGCCCAACACTGAGAAGGTTTTCTGCAATTCCAGGTACCAACATAACTTCTCTTATGTACCTTTTTCCTTTATCCGTGTCAATGACCAAGGTTCCTTTGCCTTTCACATCAACAAGAACCCTTGTGCCAACTTGCACTTTTGCCTTAATACTTCTATCAATTTCCACAAGTAACTCCTCTCTGGAAGTCATGTGATTACTGCACGCACTGTCAATATACCAGGCATCACTCACAGCTTTCACTTCAGTTGATTGCTTGACCATGAAGAGATTTCCAGGTTCTCGCACCTTGTTTGTAAAATTCCTTTGCTCTCCCACTTTGTCTGCAAAATTCCCTTGCTGAGCATTTTTGTTTTGATTGCAGATCCTAGCAATATGACCAGGTTTTCCACACTTGTGACATTTAATCTTCCCTTTTAGCCAACATTCACCATAGTGAAGTTTATCACAGTATTTGCATGCCCCTCCAGTGTTGTTAGCTTCATTTCTTACACTTGGAGTAAACCTGTTAGTCCACTGCTTCCCTTTGAACTTGAAGTTCTTCTGATATTTTGATCCACCAGTATTGGTATGTTGATTACCAAATTTACTATTCTTAGATGAGATATCTAAGCTAGCAAATGCACGTTCTGTGCTACTCTTTTCATGTCTGATTAATCTTAGTTCAAACCCTTTCAATATGGCAACCACATCTTGTGCATCAATTACATCAATATCTTTAGTATTTTCTATAACAGAAGCAATGCTATCATATGTTTTGGGTAAACTGATTCTCTGATTACTAAGATCTTCTCCATAGCTTCGCATCTGATTTATCAGATCAAACAACCTAGCTAAATATGCAGCTAGAGATTCACTTTCACTCATACGGGTATATTCAAAATCACGACGCAGACCTTGTAATTTCATAGATCGTACCTGTTTGTCCCCTACATACTCTTGCTTCAGAATATCCCAAGCTTCTTTCGCAGTTTCCAAGGTTGCAATGCATGGAAAAATTTGATCCGATACGGCTCCTTGAATGATTCCAAGAGCCCTTGCATCCTTGACCAGATTTTCACTCCGCAACTTCGTTTCCACCTCAGTGAGTTCTCCTTCCCCTTTCGCTGAAGTGGTAAAACCTTTTTCAACAATATTCCATAACTCGTGAGATCGGAAGATTGTTTTCATTCGAATCTGCCAGAAATCGAAATTTTCTCCGTTGAACACCGGAGCTCGAAGCTCCCCTCCACCAGATCCAGCCATGTTAGACTTAGATCACACCTCTCTCTACTATTTCTTTGCAACGATGTGTTGCAAACACTTGCTCACTATCTCTCACAGAATCGACGCCCAGAGATTCAGACCCAACAAGGCTCTGAGGCCATGTTAGAATAATAAGAAAATGTAGTACAACAATGGAGGATATGCTGCAATGACTAGAGTGAGAGAGAGAGATAGAAAGAATGAGAGCAGAGAATATGACACTGCAATTCTTTTCACACGCACTGTTTGATTGCTCACTTAGTGAGAGAGGAACATCTCTCTACACTTAACAGTTACACTTCCAAACTTTTGGCAGTATTCAAAATTACATCCAAGTAATCCTAGCCATCCATCTTACACCCTATGAGATGAAGACACATATACACTCACTTACTTAAGAACTATGAGACTTAGATAAGAAAGCATACAACCAATTTAGCTAATCATCCTAGCAATATAAGCTAGAAATACAACTACCACATCAGATCACAATTTACACACTAACATGTTTTGCTTCATTTCTCGCGCCTTGAAGTTCAGTCTTGAATAGTATTGTTAATCATATCCGCTGCCTCAGACTCCGGTTTCACTGAGAACTTGTTGAGAATTTTTGGCAGTTTGCTTGAGCTGAAGGGGATTAACTCTACAGTGTTGCGGGACAGGAAAGGTATGGTAATTGAAGAATTTCCTGCTAAGAGTTAATTCATTGTCGTGCCAAGATGAAGGTCCTTCTCCGAGACGAAAATTGCTCGGGTTACATTTTCAGAGCCATCCTTTGAGTATTTAAATGGAGGGTTCCCATCTGCACCATTTAAGTATCTAAACGGAGCGTTCTCATCTGCACATTTTGAGTATTTAAGAGCGTTCTCATCTGCATCTTTTTAATAAACCCAATTCTCTTCCCTTTGAACTTGGTTGTGAAGGATAACTCCCCCTTTGCCAAGACTAATGAAGTCTGCGGAAATTTTGCCATCATAAATAAAAAACAAGTTAGATATGCAGCAGCCAGCACTCAGCAGGGAGTCAAACATTTTTCGAACTTTACCCTAAGTTATTTTTACGAAAAACCAGAAGAAAAAAATGAAATGAAATTTTCAAACGAAAAGGTGTGCGCGAAAAAGAATGGATTTCATACCAATTTGCTTTACATGCTAAAGTTGAACAAAATTGAACTAACATGACGAAGTTGCAACAAAATTAAAAACGTTGCAAGAGCGAAAATGAAAATTCGTGCAAACGGCAAATATGTGCACTAACCGGGCTTGACGAGTTGGCTGAGAGATTTCGGCATTGGTGTGTTTGGAAGGACGGAGTTCCAGTAAAGTTGAGGTGGTGGTACAGGTAAGGCAGCACATGGCTTCCCACCATTGCGAGCTGCATGCAACATTTGCGCTCTCATTAGTAAGAGATATATAGAGACAGTGAGAAAAACTAAAATCATGTCCAAAACTAAAATTACAGAGCTCACTGACAGTGAGAAAAACAAAGATTCTGGAGAGGAGGAACCCCATTAAGATTGACTCAACAAGTTTTGCGACAGAATTGAAAACTATTGGATGATGAAACAGTAGCGGATGGATTCTATATTTATAGAGGAAAAAAATGCTAACGATACTTTTCAAAGTAGGACTTTTGTCACCTCACAATTTACATTAATTTTTATGCTAACATTTTAAAATATTATGTTAAAAATACGAGGTGATAGAAAATTAAAAGAGAATCATTTTTTAATGAGTAAGAAATGAACTACCAAAATTGTTGTTACCGAAAAATCTACCAAAATTTATTGGGATTAGGTGTAAACCATGCAAGTCCATTCCACTGCCTCGAGTAGAGTTCTTCCATTAAGATGAATCCAAAAATGTTTGAAGCACTACTACAATATAAGCTTTAGGTGGCGGAAGATGGTGACGGATATTAGAAAATCATGTCGGATAAATTATATTCGACACATTATTTAATTAGTGGCGGATATTAGAAAAATACTGTCGGTTATATCCGACATAAAATACTGGCGGATATCAAAAAATACTGTCAGTTATAACCGACAGTATTTTTGAATTCTTTTATTAAATATTTTTTTACATATGCTGGCGGTTTTTAAGTAAATGGTGGCGGTTATAACCGACAGAAATTGATTATTTTATTATTTTATTTTCTGACGTTTATCATTTTAGTGTTCTGGCGGTTATAACCGACAGTATTTTGGGGGGGGGGGGGAATTTAAAATTTTGGGAGAGGGAATTTAAAATTTTGGGAGAGAATTTTTGGGGAATTTTGCCCCCATTTTTGACCCTTTTTTTGCCCCCACTCAGACGCTCTCTCTTTCGTGTATTCATTATTCTCTATTCACTTCTTCATTATTCTTCCAGATTTTTCCAATTCCTCCTCTGAAATCCCCAAAAACACATACTCAGACCTCCTTTAATGAAAATCCAAATCCAAGCCTAGCGCCATTTAGCATTGCCCCAGACCTCCTCTATCATCATCCTCATTTCTCACCCCTGGCATGGCGATTTCCTCAAAGCTGAGGTTTGCACTGGCGATTTCTGATTCCATTCTCTCAGAGGTAAAGGTTCTCCCCTTTTCTTCTTTGATTTTATTGTGGAAACGTAAATCACAAGAACAAAAAGAAGAAATTGCCCATGCATGCTTCTCTTTTGTGCAGGAGATTCGGATCCGTGAAACATCCGAGAGATATGGTGAAGATAACCACTGCATGTCATAGATCCGAGAAGCATGAAGGTTCCAGATCAGAAAAACAAGGTGAAAAAAAACAAGGAAATGACCGACCAAGATCCCAACGCGCTGGCTCCGACGGCGACGGGGATGATTGTCGATGATACATGCGAGTTCTCAGCTCCGCGCTTCTTCGACTTCATAAAGGACGAGAGCGAAGACGACAACGCAAGGCCGAGCTCTGGTTCGATTGCGCTCTCCCTTACGATTTTTTAGGGTTTCCATTTCGCCAAATCTTTCAGATCTTCGCCTCCTCCTTACTAATTTCGTGCCAATTTTCCAATTATCAGGTACGATTAGGGCTTTCTCAAGTCGGTAGAACTCCCATTTTTCTGCTCCACTCGGTTCCCCCTCCAGATCCGAGTCGTGTCTGGGTCGTCGGATTTGCTCGAATCCGGAAATGTCATACCCATGAAGGCAATTTCTCATTTTCTTCGTCCATTTATAATATATATATAGATTGAAAATTTATGAGTGATTTGAATTTTGGGTGTTTAATTGTGTAGATTACAGGGACCAGGAGAGTGGGAAGATTCTGAATTTGGTGTTTGTTTAGGCGGATGAGGGCTCCGAGCTCAAAGTTGATGTCCCTGTTGTATCATCCTTTTTGTGTGTGCGTGGGTGGATATTTACAGAATGTGGAAATGAATTGGAAGGGGAAATGGTAAGTTGATAATCACGTTGTGCGGGAAGGAAGGAAGGAACTGTCTCTATCCCCTTTCTGGCTCAACTTGAAAGGGAAAGAAATAATTCAGAAAGTTGTTTATATATTTTTTATTATTATTATATTTTATGTCGGATTTATCCGACAAGAATGCTTTTATTTATTCTTATTCATAAATTTTCTGTCGGTTATATCCGACAGAACTTCTGTCAGTTTTAGCCGACAGAAAATGCTCTAATTTATTCTTTATTAATATATTATCTTGCGGTTATATCCGACACAATTTCTGTCGGTTTTACAGTATTTTCTGTCGGATTTTTCATTTCCTGACGCAGGCAATGCTGTCGCTTATTATATCCGTCACTGCATACATTTTCCGTCGGATTTTGCTTAATTTCCGACGGTATTAGACGTTTCTTGTCGGTTTTTAAACCGACATTAATGGGTACTTTTGTAGTAGTGAAGTAAAATTATCTTCCCTGCTATTCTCATCATCTTCCCTTTCTTCCTCTTATATACTGTTTTTTGTCTTATTGTTTTTATAAAAAAAATTAATATAAGATGTTGACGTAGTTAAACCGTAACCATTCAAATAGGAAGAGAAAAGAAGAAATAAGAGAGAAATTAGGAAAGGAGAAAATCCTCCTCCAAAATGTTGAGCATGCAGTGCCCCGAGGAAACGTTTCTTCTTTTTAAATTGTACTTTTATGGGAAAATGGGGAATTTAATTGAGTGCACTAATCTAAGTTGTATTTTTGCCTATTAGGTCTTTTATAGTGAGTGTGATATTTATATATGAAAATTAGGTATTGTGAGATTGATTTGTGTTACACTATTGTTACATTGATGTGAGTTTGATACGAAGTTTTATATATTAAATGAGGACCTATCTACTTTTTTATTTAATTTTTTTATGATTGACTACCTATTTTCTTTATCTCTCTTATTATTTATTGTATAAATATCACACTCATACGTCAATATATTGAACTCCAAAATAAGAATCACTTTCATAATACTCAGATTTTTCGACCAATTGTAGAAGTTTGATTCTTATATTAGTATCACACTTCGTTTTTTGGTCTAGTGTGTAAGGCCTTAAGTTGTATTTTTGTGAGAAAAATGAGAAATTTAAATTCCGTGTTGTTGTAGTAAATAATATGTACTTGGGAGAAGGAAAAGAAAGGGACGGTGTAAAGAGATGAGAGAATGGGTTCAGTTGTTTAACTTGATTGATTTCCCTTTGGTCTTGCTTTTATTTATACTAATCACGATGGACTTTTCTTGCCCTCCAGATAATACAAATCATACAAGAAAAAAATCTTCTAGATCCTATAGGATTCCTACATCTAGTTCACGCAATCACATTTCTATAATAATATTGACTGCAACACTCTCCCTTGAGCATGTAGAACTAGAGAAGTGGTCGCATAAGGTCTTTGGGCAAATGTGGAAGTATTTGATGACGCGTTCTCGTCAGGCACATGCAATGCATATGTGGAAATTTTATTTAAACCCATATAACTTTACTCTACACCCCCAACTTAAACTTTAAATGTACTTTCGGATAATGACAATGGACGTGACGAAATCGGTTAAAATTTTTATCTGAAATTAAAAATAGAATTATTTTTTACTATTTTAGAACATAAAAAAATATTAATATTTTATTACCTATTGCCATGGCTATTCAGTTTAGAGGTGGAGATACAAAAGACAATTACCGTTCATTACAAGTTGTTCCTATTCAGTGGGGAGGATTCAATTGCCAATTGCCATGAGGGCCTTCCTACATTGTAAGTGCTCTTAAGTGGTTGTACCAAATCAAAACAACCAAAATGATGTGGTTTTGGATTTAGAGCTTTTAATTTTGTTTTCGCTTCTTCCACTAGCCGAGTCGCCGCAACAACCTTTGTTTTCTAATCTGCATCAATATTCCAACCATTTCCAAGTCGCACCGACCCAGTTTCTGGCAAATCTCGTTTCTTTAGCTCTCATAGTGTGATTTGACATTAATCGGAAGAATCGATGCTTCAAAGTCAAGATTCCATTTTTGTGAACAAATAGTTCAAATACTATTGTAATTTTTTAGTTAGATTTGTACAATTGATCCCAATTTAAGGAGTACCTTATGAAATTTCTTATATACTACGGTGTACTCCACATTAAATTTAATAAATATATTTTCTTTTATATATATATACGCACACACAAAATAATATATTTACATTAAAATCAAGAGTGTAAGAGTAAATTTCCTAAAAGGAACATAGATATTGAAACCTTCTCTCCTAATACCAAGTGTTGATCATGATGAGTTAATGTTGTGGTTGGGCAGGATTTGGCAAACATTTAATTAGGTGTCCAAATACAACTTTACAATATTTTAATCACCAACGATATTCCAGCTCACCTCATCAAAGACACGTAACTTGACAAACGTAAACCTACAGAAAATAAATATTATTTGATAAAACAAATGAACCATTCCGTCATTTCGTGTGAGTGGGATGTATTCCCTTCCACGGAACCAAACGCAGCCTTTCGCATTCGTCCTCCTCCTCATGAATGATTCTACTGTCATGAATTTACGGATATATTGTTACAGTGACGAAATACATTATAATAATAAAATAAAAATATACGTAAATTAAAAAATTTACATATACACCACTATAGGAATATATCCTCTCTAGATTTGAACCATTCCGATCATGCGGACCTCCCTCCCATTGGAATTAGATTCTCTCTCGGGATCTCACGGATCAATTAATACCAAACGTTCGTAAAAAATCATGTGGCCACATTTTTTTCTTTTTTATATTTTTCACGCAAAACGAGATTGCCTTACTGTTGAAGATATAAAAAACAAATTATGTCTGCACGATTTTTTACGAACAGTTTGTATTAATTGATTCCCGGGATCTCCAGTGAGAAGATCGGAGAGGATCCAATTCTCCTATTATCACTCACCTTCCCCTGCCACCCAATTTCCACTGCATATTTTCCCGACCTTCAACCCCTCCCAATTTTTTCTTCTTTCTTTCTATTCGGTACTACTTTGTCAAAAAGAAGGTAAGGTTGTTGAGGAGAAAGAGAAAGATGAGAAAGTTGAAGAGGAAGATTGATCTCAACCGCACTATTTTAAGCGAGCGACTGATATTATTTGGTTTGCAAAATTTGAATTGTTCGCATTAGGAGAGGATTTGTTTGTTTCTACCAAAATACTCTTCTAATTTTTTGATATTAGAGAGAATAAAAATTCATGTAAATTATTTTATTATTATTAAAGTACGTCGCGTATTGGTATACATATGTAATACAAATGGAGTAGAATTCTCTCCACTTCTCTTTTCATCGCCTTCCATCCCTTCCTTTCATATTGTCTTATTTTGTTTTTCCGTTGCTATAAAAATTAATATAAGATGATGACGTAACTTACATTCTCTTATTTTGTCTTTCTTTTGCTATAAAAATTAATATAAGATGTTGACGTGACTTAACCGTGATCGTTCAAATAGAAGGGGAGGAAAGGGAAGAGAAGGGAAAAAAAGAAAGGAGAAAATCCTACTCCAATACAAATTGTTTAACCAAATCCAACAAAAAAGAAAAGAAAAGAAAAACTATTTTTGAAGACAGAAAAACACCAGAAGAAAACAAAATAAAAAACCCCTTAATCTTTTAATCAATCGCATGTTGCAACAGCAACTGCCGACCCGACAATATCTTCGGATCCAAACCCCCATATCTTCTTCCAATTACGAAGCTCGCAGCCATGGAGGTCGAGGTCGTCTCCGGCTCGAAACCCTCGGCCGACGCTATATTGAGGAGAGTGGATTCGCAGAAGGATCAGCTCCGCGTGAAGAGGAAGACTCTGCAGGCGGTGCTCGAGCAGTGCCAGAGAGCGCTCGAGTCGCTCGGTACAACTGGCGGTGCTGACGAGGAGGATAATGGAGATGATGGCGAAGAAGACGATGACGATAACAGTTCTCGTGGTTCGGCCGTTGACGACGAGCGCCAACAGGGCCGGGGATCGACTAGTTCGCGGGCTGATTGCGAGGCCGACGAGGTATGGACTGTTGATGATTTTGATGAATTTAGGATTTTGTGTGGGAATTGGGAGGTTTTGGGGATTGATTTGGGTTGAAATTTGGGGTTTTGGGGATAAATTGTACATAAATAGCTTGAAATTTAACAATTTGGTTTGGAGTTTGAAACTGGGATTCAGTTGGTTTTGAAATTGGCATAAATATTGAATTAAGTTGGCAATCGAGCTGCTTCTGGTACAATCTATAGTTAATTTTGAGTTAATTGCAAGCTTCGGACTTGATTACTATGGTTACGGGGGATTGTCAAGTTTGATAACGGTGTGGACGGTTATTTCTTATAAGGTCAAAGGATGTAGCTTTTCATGATCGACTTAATTGCTTTGATTAGCTCTGTAAACAATATATGTGCCGAACGATACATAATCTGGCATTATGCAGCGGACGTCTGAGTCCTTGATCCAATCTTTTTGTGTGTTATGATATCTTCACTGAAGAAATTGGTGTGGTCCTAAAAAATTGTCTAGTCCATTCTGAAACCTTGTATCACTAATATTGCTTTTGCTATTGATTATTTTTTCCCCATTTTGCAAGCTTTACATATTCTGAAGTAGACACAATTTGCATCTTGATGCAGTTATGCGACCTTCTTAAATCGAGAGTTGAATGCCCCGACTTCCTCCAAAAGCTAGAAAGTGCACAAGCATTAGTTCCACAAAATATACCTGGTATGCATCCAAAGATAGTTGCATTTTAGACATCGAGTTCTCTATATGGTGTACATGCTAAACTGTTATTGTATGGCAGCAGAAGAAGGTAATTCTTGGGATCTGGTTAGTGAGAATGATCTATGGGAAGATGAGGATAGCAACCTTGGTGAAGAAGATTATGTTCTTGTTAGGCAAGAAGATATAGTAGAGGGTATTGCGTGCTTTATGGCTGCATACCTGTTGTCCCTTAAACAGACTAAGGTATCTTCAAACTCTGCTCAGCTACTTCATTTGATTTTATACTACCGCAACTATGATTCACGCACTGCCCAAAAAAAACACTATGATTGACCTACTGAGAAAATTCAACCTATATGACTGTCTAGCAGAATAGTATATCCATCTTAGTTTTTACAAAGAGAATGAATAAAAAGAAACACAGGGATTGATTATTTATCCTGCTTTGTGGATATGCTAGGGTTAAACATGCATAATGCTAATTGAAAACTTTGGTCCCACTGTTGGTCCTTCATCCTAGTCTAGTATTTGGCATTGACCTGTATGGCCAATACTTGGGCATGCAGTATGTTCTTAACGTTTTTTATTACTTGATCCATGTTAGTCTTGGTTGGCCTTTTGATCTTTTACATTTACTTTAACTATTCTTCCTTTTTGTTAGGGTGAATCTATGTGGTAGCGAATTTCTTGTGTCTTATGAGTTATTACTCTGAGATGCCACTCCCAATGTTTCTCTACGTAGATTTTTACATTTTTTATTCTCATCACATACATAAGACATCGTAGCATTATTCTGGCTTTACATGGATGAGTTGCTAATACATAGCCGTAAGCGTAGCTTCTTGTTATTTGCACTTAATTGGTTCCACTCACAATCTGTCTATACCAACCAGTCTTTTAAATTGATCCTTTCTGATTACTCCTATCATTTTCATCTTAAAATTCTCATCTCTGTGAGGTGGATATGGATCTCTTGCTTTTGCTTCAAAGCCCATCGTCATCCTTTAAAAGAAGGGTTTTTTTTTCTCTTAGGAGTACCATACAGAATAGCTTGCTTATTGACAGTTTGTGGAACTTTTCTTTTTAGTCCATCTGGTAGTCTTTTATAAAGTAGGTTGGTGTGTGACGTATGACCTAATGACATGACATACCTAAGAGATTTGGCTGTCACTGCATTTGTAGTTTCCATCTTTTATTGCTGCTAGTATTTCCACATATCATTAACCGTGTGGATCAATGCAAGTAGGTTAGGAGGTCAAACCATTGAATTCATTAGTAATGAACCATTACGCTTTAGCACTAGTGTCAGAATTTTTAACTTATCGAATTGACATGTCTTCGTTCTATGATTGTCAAAACAGTATTCAGGCAGATTTATAAATTGTGCATATGTAGCCTCTTTTTTGTCAATTGAGCATGTTTCATACACCAAATTGGATTCGTATCCACTCTTTTTAATTGGTTGCTGTTTGATTTGCAGGAATTGACCCCTAATCAACTTCAGGAAGGTGAGTCTAATATCTGTTTTTAAATTACTTCTTAAGTTTAAGCGGAATAAAAAACTCTAGCTTCAAATCGGGTAGTGCCATATGCATTTTGTGCTTTATTTGATTAGATTTGGTGTCCGCATTTTACAAATGGAATCTTACATGTCCTATTTCTTGTGTTAGCCCTTAGCAAAACATTCTCAGTGAAAACGAAGAAGGGAAAGCTTCGGAAGGCATGGGATGGAAGCAAAGTTATCTATAATGTAGCATCGTGGGGGGCAACTGCCATTGGGTAGGTTACTCTTACTTCAACCCAGTCTCACCTAATTTGATGGTTTTGGAATTTCTCACCATCATCATGCAGCATGTTGTGGATTACTCTCATAATCAAACGATTTGTTTAGTTACCGAACTTTTTACTGGTGTAACTTTATACAGAAATCGTTGTCTCGGTCTTAAGTTGAATTCTCTTATTTGACCCTCTCTTTTCGTTATTTACAGGATATACCAAAACCCTGTGATCATAAGGGTTGCCACGAAAGCCTTCTGGACATCTTGTGAAGTTATATCAAAGTTTCTCTAATTTGTCTCTGCTGCCGGGAAAAGCAGGATTTGCTTCTTGTATTTAGTACTTTGTGTACTTCCAACGCAGCTTTGTGTTTCAAAAAGTGCGTAACATTACTGGCATTCTTTTCATGATACCGAATGGCGTGATTCCTTGATGAATTTAATCCTGTAAATATTTGCTTCCGATTGAAGAGTGCAGTTCAAATTTATGTAACACAGCATTGAACATGTGTCGGACATTTTAGATATTTATTTACTTGTGCACAATGTCACCAATGATGTTTTCGATCGCATTAGGCGAACTTTTCGCATAGGAAAATTCAAGATCTGTTGCGTTCTATCTCGGATGTTGAAATTAAGCAAAAACGTCTTTTAAGTGATGCCTCATAAAGCATCTAACGTACCGAATGTACGTTTCTCCAAACGTGTTGGCATTTGGTATTGGTAAGGAATTCTCTTACTCAAGCAAATTGGACAAAGTCTTTGTCCAACAATCTTACACACAAGAATCATAGAAACAAAAAGGAAAGGCTTTCTTATTTTCAATCTCATTGTTATGTAGCTACCTACTGAACATAAACATTACTTGTTCGGGGGAGAACTGTGCGTCACGCCACAGGGCCTCATAGATTTTGAATCGGACACCGTTTAGTCATATAAATGTATTAGTTTAGCTAATTTTACGGTCCTGTGGTATTCAATTTCACTTATAAATGAGATGTCTTAGGTTCGATCTTTGCCAAAGGGTAATTCGAATCAATTATTATGGCTAGCCTATTGTGAATATCGTGCTTATCAATTGAATCAGTTGAATCAGCTGTTTATCATGAATCTGTAACTTGGTACATACACTGTTGATTTATTTGATACATTTGGATGACTTAACAATCCCTGATTTGAATGATTTTTTGTACGGACGATCTTCAAATGAAGATTAAGAAATTGAATGATTCCCATTATGAAACTTCTATGGCAAAGATATGTGTGGGACCATGATTTACCCGGGCTAGAGTAAGGCGGATCGGAATACGCATACCTCAGAAGTCCGGTCATGAACTCAATAGCCTCCCTTGCGGAGCTGACTAAATGGATATTCTCCGTTTATGAATTCAATGGTTCATTACTAATGAATTCAATGGTTTATGAAGTCCGGTCACGACCTCCTAACCTACTTAAGGTATGCATAAACTCATATCATCAATATCTGAATCTCATAAACGTGTATTAAAACTTACCGCCTTTATGCGTAGGGCATTAGTGTAGGTTCGATTAGAATATCGCTTGTAATAATATAATGGCCATTATTTGTGTAGCTTAAGATTTAGAGACTTTATTAATGGTTTTGCAAACTAATGGCTTGAATGATTACACCTTATGGTTTGGCATTCTCTTCTAGAATGCCCAACTGCAGATTTCGAGAGTGTTGAAGGCAACCTGCCGGCGCATGAGGAAAGAGTTGTGGTGTTCCCCGGGATATTATTATCAACGTTATTATGAACTGATGTTGGAGGCAGTTGATGCCGATGGGGTTAAATTTTACCAGGCACAAGTTGCGGTAGATTCCGTTGATGACAGAATGTGGTTGGAAGTGTTTTGTGTCATGGATGATGAACATTATTCTTTAAGACTATATCATCACCTAGGTAACCATACACTTATTCGATTACACCATGCGGTTGCTTTGATCAATCCATGATTAAACTTGATACTCAATTCAAGTGTTGTATAGGCGATGTCTTTAAATAGGAGAGAGATTTACGGCCGTCACTATGGGCAAGGAAAAAAGTAATACAGCACAAAAATTACATACAGAATCATTCCTTGTCAACACAAGAGCAACAAAAGACAGCAGTAATCGCAACAAGTTAGCTTACAGAAAGAGGAAGTCCACACTTTTGATGCCCCACAAACCCAAGACATCAATTTCAGAGGGTGGTTCGGGCATGACAACAGAAAGACCAGTCCCGAAAAGGTCACAGTATAGAGCAAAAGCTGAAGTGAGATGAGCTGCAAGCCAGTAAGGGCATACTCTTGGTTGAGCATACTAAGACCTAGTTTGGGAGTGAGGTGCTTAAAAAAAAAGCATCTATGAAAAAAAGCTGTGAGGGTTTTAGGTGTTTGGTAAACTGAAAAAAGGGCTTATTTTGGAAGCTGCTGTGAGAATAAGCTGAAATCAAAGGAAAAAGCTGAAGCTGCTATTTGCAGCTTTGGAAAACTGGTTTTTTTTCAAAGCACACGGAGCTACAATGCTTCTTTAATGAAAAGACCCACTATTAGACTTTTTTTTTTCCAAAAACACTTTTACAAAAAAGTTTACCAAACACTCTGCTAATTTATTTCACAGCCGCTTATTCTCACAACAGCTTTTTTTCAAAGCACAGCAATACCAAACCAACCCTATGCTGGCTCTTGCGGGTGGGCGGATGAAATTATTACACAGCGTTAGACGTGTAACAATGCCACTAATTATCACCCTACTAAGTACTAAAGACCAGATCGTGTTAGTTTGCTCCCGTCCTCTCAGATTGTATAATGCCTTGTGATTGTTCTTCACAAAACAACACTACCGCTCTTCTTGGAAACATCTTTCTATTGCTCCGCAACCAATGTGCAAAATTTGATTAGAAGCAGCCTAAAAGACTCTACCATTTCATAAATAACATAGATTGGGGTATCCCGAGACACCGATACTAATCAAAGCGGACAAAAATTATAAATAAAATCTAAGAGGAGTTTTAGTTAAGTAATTAGCTAAAAGAACTTTATAAATGGAGGACTTATAGATATCAGGAATTAACCTAGTTGCATGTACACGTAGGGTAAACTCACAGCTGAGGTACCAGAAATTGAAACACGTCAAACATAAATTCATGCATAAAAGCTTGATGTGAAAGAAAGAGATACCCGGAAGACGGAGGTCTGGCGATGATGGCACCAGTGGGTGGAATCGGGAGACACGCAGAGCGTACGTACATGTTTGCATTTCTCTCCCAATTTCATTAAAACAACTACAAGCCATGTCCTAGAAAATAAAAAATCACAAACCGAAACCCTAAGGCAAAAAATTAAAAGAAGAAAAAGTCTCTCTCTCTCTCTCTCTCCCTTCTCGTCACTTTCTCTCGACCCAAACAAAAAAAAAAAAAAAAAAAAAAAAAAACAGCAAGGAGAAACCCCTGAAACTTGGAATCGGACCTTCCCCTCGCTCAATTTCTGTCATCGAATGGGTAATTATCTAAATCTCTACTTCTATTTTGCTTAAGTTTAAAACTTTTCATTGAAATTGATACAAAGATCCCAACTTCCCAAAGTTGATTTCTTTGGGGGAATTTCAAATCTTTCCATCTCCTTTTTTACTTTCTTATATATACTGTCTGATAATAGGCATATTTATGCCTGAATTGTGTTGATTTCTTTCGGGGAATTTCAGATCTTTCGATCTCCTCTTTTACTTTCTTATCTATACAATCTGATTATATGCAGATTTATGCCTGAATTGTGTTAATTCTGTGTGTTAAAAGCTCTCCAAAAGAGTTTACAATTCTTTTTTCTTTTCATTGAAATGGAAGCCTAATACTTCAAAATCTAAGCTTTCCCATATGGTTCAATCTCCCGCGGCTACAAACCCAGGAATCCAGACCCAAATTTAATATCGAGTCGTAAAAGGGTTGGATCTGGAGCTCTGAGAACCACTCATATTTATTTGTTTCTGTGTTTTTTTTTGGATAGAGGTCGCACTTGGTGCGATGGCAAGTGCCTTCGCCCATGAGCGGTAGGTCTCGGTTCGAGATTTGGGAGCAGCCTCTCCATAAATGGGGGTAAGGTTAGCCGACATTCACCTCTCCCAGACCCTGCGTAAAGCGGGAGCCTTGTGCACTGGGTACTGGTACGACCTTTTTGTGTTTTTTTTTTTATGGTTTTTGAAAAATTAGACCCGAAATGGATTGGAATATCTGCATTTTACAGCAAGGTCCTAACTTTTTAGTTTGGTGGTTGGGGATGAATAGAAAGGCTAAAACTTTTGGTGATACAGATAGAATATGGTGTGATTTGGGCATCTGGGGAAGTTGAAAATCTGATTTACAAGTTGGATTGGTTCAAGATTCATCTTTTACTTCTTGCGATCCTTACTTTGTAAATGAAAGATCAATTGTTGGGGGAAGGGCATTTAGTTATCGTCAAGATACTATGAAGAAACATATTAGTGAAGTTATCTGTTTGGTTATTGCGCGAATTCATCAGACCCTTTTAGCCTAACTTTTCTCTGTGTAGTAGAGATATATATCCATGGCTCAGAGACGTGTGCTGGGGAGCAGTAGTAAATACATTCAGAATTATGGAAGACTTATTGGAAGCCATGGAAGAAGCGTTTCCACACCCACACCCACAAATACTAAGAAACAGGTAAAACCAATGCTCATATTAAATTGCAACAAGAATTTGCACAACTCTCTCTCTCTCTCTCTCTCTCTCATAATGAATTTGAATACCAGGAATTTGATTATCATATGGATTTAGGAGGATTAGGGCCTGCCCGCTTCGCAACACAAGAGTTCAACAGGCTTAAGGTATCCATAAACTCATATCATCAATATCTGAATCTCATGTATGTGTATTAAAATTTACCGCCTTTATACGTAGGGCGTTAGTGTAGCTTTGATTAGAATTTCACACGTAATAATATAATGGGCATTATTTTTGTAGCTTGAGATTTAAAGACTTTATTAATGGTTTTGCAAACTTATGCATTAATGTTTACATCTTATGGTTTGGCACTCTTCTAGAATGCCCAACTGCAGATTTCGAGAGTGTTGAAGGCAACCTGCAGGCACATGAGGAAAGAGTTGTGGCGTTCCCCGGGATATTATTATCAACGTTATTATGAACTGGTGTTGGAGGCAGTTGATGCCGATGAGGCTGAATTTTACCAAGCACAAGTTGCGGTAGATTCCGTTGATGACATAATGTGGTTGGAAGTGTTTTGCGTCATGGATGAACATTATTCTTTAAGACTATATCATCACTTAGGTAACTATACACACTTATTTGATTTACACCATGTGGTGCTTTGATCATTGTCATATTACGCGTTTAGGGCGAGGGCTGGTATGTTACGCCTGATTCTGTATTATTAGTATTGATCATCAATTATTTGTTTGAAACAGACAACTTTTTTGATGAATGATGCTTCAAACTCCAGAGGTCCGGATCTCTTCGTGTATCTTTGTTCAGGTTTGCATCTTCTTCTTCTTCTATATGGTAACAATTCTCGTTTACATTTTTAATGCGTAAAGTTCTGGTCTAATGTGCACAAGTGATTTCATCGGTCACAAGATTTCCATTATTGAACCCTCGTGGCACGGTGTTTGCTGTCGGTAGACTACTGTACATGTCAACTGTCACAGAGACGAACGAGGTGAAGATGCGTGTGTGTGTGTCCACTGCAAGGAGCAAAGTAGCATGGAGATCGTCCTCATGGCTTTAGTTCAATGATCTATTTGAATTATCATCTCTAAGACTTCGTTTTGTTTATTTTTTCTTAGACACTGATGTTATTAGCATCTAGGCGATAACCAATATCTAGTTATAATATGAACAGACATTGATTGTTCCATAGTACGCGTTTTTGCTAAGGCGTATGTGAGTGAGGATGCTTGATCTGCAATGTCAAGTCAAAGTAGAGCTAGATACTAAGAGATCGTTCGAAGTCTAGTATTGTGTAACTGAAAAACAAGTTTGATGTCCTAGAGATCTTTCGGAGGGCCACTGCAGAGTCACTGGATGTGTGTTTCTGATATTGTTTGTAGTTCTAGTTATTTCAAATCGTCATTCTTTCTTCATTAAGCCTTTTATTGTTCTTACTTGATGGATTATTCCCCCACTCTAAATTCTAAACGATTAAGAGGGAGCTTCAAACTTGGGTGTAGAAGGACGATCGCCCCACTCAAGCCAACTTGGTTACATAGACGACGTCCACCTTTTTTCGCTCCCAAGGTCGAATTTCAACTCATTCCTCATCTTAAATGATAAATGTAACTAATCGTAAATAATGAAATGCTCACATTCACTAAAGTTTAACCCTTGCGTAAACAATCATCAATCCATGATTAAACTTGATACTCGATTCAAGTGTTGTATAGGCGATGTCTTTAAATAGGAGAGTGATTTACGGCCGTCGGTAGCACAATGAAAATCACTATGGGCAAGGAAAAAAGTAATACAGCACAAAAATTACATACAGAATCATTCCTTGTCAACACAAGAGCAACAAAAGACAGCAGTAATCGCAACAAGTTAGCTTACAGAAAGAGCAAGTCCACACTTCTGACGCCCCACAAACCCAAGATTTCAATTTCAGAGGGTGGTTCAGGCATGACAACAGAAAGACCAGTCCCGAAAAGGTCACGGTATGGAGCAAAAGCTGAAGTAAGATGAGCTGCAAGCCAGTAAGGGCATACTCTTGGTTGAGCATACTAAGATGCTGGCTCTTGCGGGTGCGGGGATGAAATTATTAGACTGGCTATAATGCTTATTTCATTTCAAATCAGTCATTTAGAGACCACACAGCGTTAGACGTGTAACAATGCCACCAATTATCACCCTACTAAGTACTAAAGATCAGATCGTGTTAGTGTTGCTCCCCTGTCCCCTCAGATTGTATAATGCCTTGTGATTGTTCTTCACAAAACAACACTACCGCTCTGCTCGGAAACATCTTTCTATTCCCCCGAAACCAAGGTGCAAAATTTGATTAGAAGCAGCCTAAAAGACTACCATTTCATAAATAACATAGACTGGGGTATCCCTATACACCGATACTAATCAAAGCGGACAAAAATTATAAATAAAATCTACGAGGAGCTTTGGTTAAGTAATTAGCTAAAAGAACTTTATAAATGGAGGACTTACAGATATCAGGAATTAACCTAGTTGCATGTACACGTAGGGTAAACTCACAGCTGAGGTACCAGAAATTGAAACACGCCAAACATAAATTCATGCATAAAAGCTTAATGTGAAAGAGAGAGATGCCCGGAAGACGGAGGTCTGGCGATGATGATGGCATTGGCACCAGTGGGTGGAATCGGGAGACACGCAGAGCGTACATACATGTTAGCATTTCTCTCCCAATTTCATTAAAACAACTAGAAGCCATGCAGACAATAACGGCAGTCTACACCATCTCCTTCTACAGACCTGCACAACACTAATAAAACAACTCCTAATTTGTAATCCTTAAAACTCAAGGGTATCATGTTCAAAAGGTACAAGTATTTCTATGGCACTCTCAAAGCAATGTTGGGGTAAACCAGATTCGTCTTCATATCCGAACTCTGTTTCCTCCGTATCAACTGTTGTCCTAAGGGGTTGGCCTGATGGATGTGCGCTAAATAGGCCACATCCGCTAACTTTCACAAACATTTTTGTACTTGTGTTAGCTTCACATGCATCATACTAGTAGAATATGCAAAATCCAAGAGCCAAACCAAAACGCAAGTATAACATTGGCCTAAAATGCATCCAAACAATATTTTACTTTGATTGTTTTCAAGAATATAATACGAAAGTAACAAAATGTCAAATTCCAAAACTTAAATATTTTTGGAGGGGCAATTCGTGCAAGGTTTTTAACATCTCATCCTCAAGGGAACATCTGCTTGTCTTCACTGGAACTTTTACCTCGGGGTAGTAAAGCTCTGAAACATTTGAGAAGACACCGATGAGTGCATTTGAAGGTAGCTCAGTATTAGCACTGCTGAATGCAAAATACAAAATCCGAACAAGATAAAGAGATGTTCTATAAAAGCGATGGTAAAATTTGAAAAAGAAGCGAAAAGAAAAGATGGTAAATATGATTCAGCAAAGATGTGTATATCATGCAAATGAATATTTTAATATTCTTACAACTAATTAACATTGGTTTCCCACATCGTCAGTGGAAATTAACAAACTGTAATGCAAATAATCAAACTATCATGCCCTGTAAATAACTAGCTACCTCTGGTATCAATTGGATCTCTTGTGCGATTGATCTTTGGGCTTGTACGCCTGTTATCAATCAGTTTTAAAAGTCTTCCACCATCAAGAACAAGACCAAACAATCTGAGCTCCTTTGAGATTGTCTGCGCAACGATTGCTTGATAAAGCTTCACCGTACCAGCATCAGCGGCCTCTAATGTTATAAAATAGTTCATACAGCCGCAAAAAAGCTGCTGACTTTCCCTTACCCACCTCACAAACTGCAGTTGGGCATCCTAAAAGAGAGAAACACAGAAATTGGATTGGAGTAGAGTGTATACTAGCAAACACATCCCTCTGTCGCGCGCGCGGGCGTGCACACACATACACAAAACACATTAGTGAGTAGTTATAATTAGTTATTACCTTTTGCTTGTTGAACTCTTTGACAGCGAAAAGAGCATGTTTCTCGTAATGACGAGCACATCTACCAACGTCAGAGATGGGACATGTAAATCTTCTAGGAAGTATGCTTTCATGGTCTAGATAAGAGGCCGGACGTGGCTGGAGCTGGTTAATGTTGTTGGATAATACTGTTGGAGCTGTGCTTGGTAGTGCCTCTCTCTCTCTTGTAATCCTATGAAGGTGAAACGTAGTACTATTACTCCAACTCCCAAGCTTTAAAGCCACAGAGGGAAAGCGGAAAGCCATTGCCGCCATGCTCTCCACCCCTACACACTGCACATCTGCAACTGCATTTGCGTCTTGGGTTAAATCGGTTGGTCTGCGACCGAGAATCGAAATTACATAATATTTGACACAAGCCCGTAAAAGTTGATTGCTTTTGTGAAACCAAAGCAAACCAAAACCAGAACCAAAATTAAAACCAAAACCAAAACCAAAAGAATCTATCCATCCATCTATTTACAGTCCAAGAACAATTGGAGTGCAAATATTATATAATATTATTTATCACAACAGTTGGAGCAAATATAATTATCAAAAATCGCTTCCTCATCAATTTTATATAATTATCAGAAATTAATCAATTTGTTTGTGCTTGTGGTGCAAATATAATTACAAACAAGTCAAGTGATCAGTTGAGGGAGACTTACTGGAGTTAAGGTTTCGGAATTGGAGGAGCAGTTGAAATTTTCTTTTATTTTTTTATGGGAAGGGATTTAGAATTTACAGTTTACTGCACCGAACCTAATTAAACTACTCTGCCAAATCAGGGAGTTCGTTCAACTTCAAGTCTTCAACCAACGGGCTATGTCAAAGGAACACGTGGCATATCATACACCGTTCATTCTTGTTAGCCAGTCCTAGAAAATAAAAAAGATATGATATCCACATACCTTATTTTACTTCTCACATAATTTCTTTCCGTTGATTTTCTTTAATTCATCTAATCCGATAGCCAAAAATTAAAAAAATGTGTGAAAAATAAAATAGAATATGTATATCACATTCCAATAAAAAATCACAACCCCAAACCCAAAGGCTTAAAACTAAAACAAGAAAAAGCCTCTCTCTCTCTTCTCGTCACTTTCTCTCGACCCAAACGGCAAGGAGAAACCTCGGTAACTTGGAATCGAACCTCCGCTCGCTCAATTTCTGTGGGTAATTATCTAAATCTCGACTTCTATTTTGATAAAGTTTAAAACTTTTCATTGAAATTGATACAAAGATCCCAACTTCCCAAAGTTGATTTCTTTGGGGGAATTTCAAATCTTTCCATCTCCTTTTTTACTTTCTTATATATACAGTCTGATAATAGGCATGTTTATGCCTGTATTGTGTTGATTTCTTTCGGGGAATTTCAGATCTTTCGATCTCCTCTTTTACTTTCTATCTATACATCGATCTCCTCTTTTAGTTTCTTATCTATACAATCTGATTATATGCAGATTTATGCCTGAATTGTGTTGATTCTGTATGTTGCCTAAACGGTTATACTTATATCCATAATCGTTTATAAATGATTAATCATATCCGTATATCCATTTAACGTAACCGTTAATACCCATTTACCCATTTATCATTTTTAACCCGTTTTTTTTTTTTTATCATTACTCTTTTTTTACTCATCTACGTATTTTTTAACAGCTTGTAAATTAAAAAAAAATTATCATAATTTTTTTTGACAATTAAACATCGTTATAGTTACATTCATCATACATTTCTATATTTTAATTTTTTAAGTCCTTATACCATTCCAATAATTGAAATAATAATTTACGGACGATATTTTTAATTGTTATCAATGAAGATAAATATAATATTTGCTAAGTATTATTGGGTTACAAAAATTGTTTAGAAGATATTTCTGTCAAAGTATTTTTGTCAATTTCATGGTTACCCGCAAAGAATTTAAATTAATTTAGTCAATTCTTTGATGATGAGAATCATCATTCCTGTAGTGTTATTGAGAGAATGACCGATGAACTCCTTGCTAATTTATTGGGTGCTAAGTATTATTGGATCGAAAACATAGTTTATGTTAGTTTTACATATATAAAATAAATGAGTAAACGGTTGTATGTTTATAATCGTGGTTAATACCCATAACCGTCCATTTAAATTTTACGGGTAAACGGTTATACCCATAACCGTTTATTTATCTAAACGGTTACCTATAACCGTAACCGTTTAATTTAAATAGACGGGTAATCACGGTTACCCATAATCAATGGGTATTTGCCCATCCTTATCCAGGACTCCAGACCCAAATTTAATATCAAGTTGTAAAAGGGTTGAATCCGGAGCTCTGAGAACCACTCATATTTATTTGTTTCTGTGTCTTTTTTTTTTGGATGGTTTTTGAAAAATTAGACCCGAAATGAATTGGAATATCTGCATTTTACAGCAAGGTCCTAACTTTTTAGTTTGGTGGTTGGGGATGAATAGAAAGGCTAAAACTTTTGATGATACAGATAGAATTTGGTGTGATTTGGGCATCTGGGGAAGTTGAAAATCTGATTTACAAGTTGGATTGGTTCAAGATTCATCTTTTACTTCTTGCGTTCCTTACTTGTAAATAAAAGATCAAATGTTGGGGGAAGGGCATTTAGTTATCGTCAAGATACTATGAAGAAACATATTAGTGAAGTTATCTGTTTGGATATTTCGCGAATTCATACCCTTTTACCCTAACTTTTCTCTAGGTGTTGAATGATTCAAACCGTTTATTTTTAGGTCATTCTTTGAAAATAATTTATTCGAACCAGTTAGCTCATTAGCTCCTGCGATGCTTTTTTTCTTTCTCCTGCAGCAAATTCATTCACTCATAGTGTCACTCGGTGTTACCTCTCCAGACAATCAATCATAGCGATCCAGACAATCAAACTTCTAATCCTCATACCAGTACCCACAAAAGATATGAAACGAGGTAGCTGAAATATTATTTAAACAATAAAATCCAATCCTTAGCATACAAAGGGAAGTGTTTCCAAGATATTTTAACACAACCCATTTGTTCAATCATAGTTCATATATATCAAGGTAATGAAGCATTTAAACAAATCATCTCAAGAATCAGAAAACACTAAGTAATACTCATCAAACTGAATCAATATATATAAAGTAATCTAGAAAATGACATTTTGGTTAAATGAATTTGGAAAAGTAGCCAGGTCAACAACAAATGGATTTTCACTTTCTCAAAAGCAGCACAAATCCCTAATTCTTATGGAAAATATAATTTTTATTTAATCTCATAATTGATATGTCTAATCTCCCTACTTTTTCTTTAATCTCAGAATTTCTAGCCAATCTCCCTAAATTCTTTACTTCTCAGAATTGCTAGTTAACCTGTAATTTCGTGGATTTAATCAAATTTTAGACACAATGATGTCAAACCTGCCCAAATTTCGTTAATCTCATTGAGCATGTGCATCGAGTCGTTAGATACCAAGAAGCCAATAACATAGTTACTATTGTTATTGCAATTTAGAAATTAATCCCTAAACCATAAATATCCTTTAACATAAATTAAGTTATTGTTTTAATATCTCAGATGATTGCTGGGTTGTAGCCTCAGTTGAATGTTTGCAAGTTGTGGTATACATGAACATCGGAATTCAACTTTTGTTCTCCCCACAACATATTGTGGACTGTGCCCTTGGATTCATGTGCGCCTAACTAAAGAGGAACTTAGCCTACCACTTCGAGAAAGGCTGGGCCATCTGTTGGATGCCCTAATCTACATGATTGCCGTACTCTACATGAAGAATCATGATGTTGCATTGGAGACCGACTGGCCTTATATGGGTCACCCAATCAACGTAAGCCAACCACCTTCAAACACCTAGTTAAACACCTAATAATTTAACTAACATGTATGTAAAATACATGTTTGAATTTGAAGGTGGTTGACTTACATTGATTGGGTGGCCCATATAAAGCCAGTCGGTCTTCCAATGCAACACCATGAGTCTTCATGTAGAGTAGGGCGTCCAACGGATGGGCCGGCCATTCTCGGAAGTGGTAGGCTAAGTTCCTCTTTAGTTAGGTGCACATGAACCCTAGGGGCACAATCCATTGTGGGGATAGCAAAAGTCGGATTTCGGTGTTCATGTGTAACACGGCTTGCAAACATTCAACTGAGACTACTAACCAGCAATCATCTTAGATATTAAAAACAATAACATAATTTTATGTTAAAGAATATTTATGGTTTAAGGATTAGTTTGTAAATTGCAATAACAATAGTAAGTATGTTACCGGCTTCTTGGTTTCGAACGACTGGATGCATATGATCAATGAGGTTAACAAAATCTGGGTGAGTCTTGTGTCTAAAATTAGATTAAATTACAGGTTAGCTAGCAATTCTAAGAAGAATTGGGGAGATTGGTTATAATATCTGAGATTAAAGAAGAAGTAGGGAGATTCGTCATATCAATTATGAGATTAAATAAAAATTACATGCCCCATAAGAATTAGGGATTTGTGCTGCTTTTGAGAAAATGAAAATCCACTTGTCGTAGACCTGGATACTTTTCCAGATTACTTTAATCAAAATGTCATTTTCTAGATTTCTTTATATATTATTGGTTCCGTTTAATGAGTATTACTTAGTGTTTTCTGCTTCTTGAGATGATTTGTTTAAATGCTTTATTACCTTGATATATTTGAACTGTGTTTGAATAAATGAGTTGTGTTAAAATATATTGACCTTTGTATGCTAAGGTTTGGATTTTATTGTGCAAATAATATTTTAGATACCTCCTTTCATATCTTTTATCAGTGCTGGTATGAGGATTTGAAGTTCTTTATGTGATTATCCTATTGTGTTTCCTTTTGAGAATGAAATTTGAAGCTCATGTAACAGTTTTATAAATGACAATGTGTTGCTAAACTTGGAAGTTTGTCAATAGCTAACATGTTGGAGAAGTATTTGATTCAATTCTTTTTACAAAAGCTTTTATTTTGTGGATATAATTGATACAGGTGCTATTGCAACCAAGCTTTCCCATGTATTCATTTGTGCATGTTATTAGCTAGATTGGATCTGCATGTTATTGTGACTTGAATGTGCATATGGTCAATGAGGTTAACGAAATCTGGGGCGAGTTTGGCAGCCTCATGTCTAAAATTAGATTAAATCTAGGAAAATTACTGAATGAGACATCCCGTTGCCATAGCTAGCAGGTTGGAGTTGGTGAATTATGATTTTGGGGGGTTTTTTTTTTTATTATTTAATACTTAGGTACATGTTTTTTTAAATATTTTTTGTTTGAAGAAATTCGAGTGTTGGTGAAATTACAATGTTATTATTTTTTAACTGTTTACCAAAGTTTTCGCATTGCACAGCAAGACCTCAAAATTTTTTGTTTTGGACATAAATAAGAAGACATTGGCTCTAGACCAAGCTCGAAGCTCATATTCGTGACCGCGTCTTGGAAATCTCTTTGTTGCGATGATCATGTTATTCGACAAGGCGCCGGAAAGTTCTGCCTTTTTGGCGAACTCGAATTTTTTTGTTTTGGACATAAATAAGAAGACATTGGCTCTAGACCAAACTTGGAGCTCATATCCTTGACCGTGTCCCGGAAATCTCTTTGGTGCGATGATCACGTTATTCGATAAGGCGCCAGAAAGTCGTGTCTTTTTGGCAGCCTCCGACGATGGCATACCCCATACTCAAATTTTCTCTCAAGCCTTCTCGTTCCCTTCAATTTAGTTTCCTTCCAATCCATTGTGTTATTCAAGAACCTCAATTAATGTATTGTGAATTAAAAGACATCTTATAAATTATCAAGGGTGTAACTTTTGGAACCAATTTTAAATTTCGTACGATATACAATAAACAGTTACGATGTGAGGATCCTTAGGATTCCCACAATTTGGATCCGGATGGAATCCAAATCCTCAAGGGAGTGGTGGTAGTGGCAATGTTGGTAGATGGTCGGTGGAATGATGGTGACGATATTTTTTTTATTTTTTTATTTTGGGGGTAGGCAATGTCATTTTCCAAAACCTAATGAGAATATTAATGGAATTTAAAAGACTCACTAAATGAGTCACTTTGCTTTTAGTAAAAGCATATTTCAAAAGCAACCTAATGAGGCTATTATTAAAAGATGTTGTTTGAAGATTATTGCTTTTAAAAAGTAAGCATTGTTGCAGTTCTATTAGATTAGAAATGTGATTGTGTAAATCTTAGTGTATATAGGGATATCTTAGAATATTTCATAAGTTATATATTATCCTATTAGAGTTGTAATCCTATTAGGGTAAAGATTTAACATTCCCTAGTACTATAAATAAATGCACAATGGGGATAATATAACACACACCTCACAATCACATCTCTCTTTCTCCTCTCTCTTGCCGACGTCCCTCTCCCTCTCTAATACTAAGTACAATTTAGTAAATTAGGCCTCCAATGTTAGAAATGTGCCCTAAAGCCAATCAGATGATGATACATTACAGACATTTCATATATTAAACTAATCTAGTTTAATATAAAGGGCAAAAATTATTGTTTGAAGCTGTCTCATATAAATGTTATATACTTAAACGATAAGTTCAAGGAATATGTAATTGGGAGAATGTGATCTAAAGAAGTTAGATTCATGAGACCATTCTCTTTCGTATACATATCCTAAACGTTCTTGATCATAGGATTGCCAATTGGGCATTGATAGTCTGTTAAGATCAGTACGTGTTATGTTTTCTCTTAGGGAGAGTGACTGGTCTCGAGTCATTGGTATGACTGACATCAAGACAAGCATGTAAGTGCTCAATGGAGAATGAGTTCACTGAACACAATCAACAAGGAGTTCTCATACTCATGTCACATGAGAAATCATGGTTGGGATAATGCAAAGTAGTCATTTGACCTGAGGCATCATAATTGTCTTGTGGTTAGGTCCTTGATCTTTGACTATATCAAAATCACTCCATCAGAGGGTGTCCATGACATAGTTGGGGTCAAGCCATTTAGCCATGGAGGTAAGTAAATGCGCAACAAGAGATCTCTAACCTTCAAACCGTTTGAGGGAGAATAATCTATGATATGATTAAGAATCTCTGACCAGAGTATGAATGAGATTTAGGAAGTCGTTCCAAATCATGTTCAAAGTAATCATATAAGAGAATCACATTTGATAATAGACATGAATAAACTAGCAAACCAAACAATGTGGTCAAGAGTATGGTATTAGAGAAAGACTGTATTGCATTGTAATCCTAAACTGAATAGGTTCTTCACCTCTTCTGATTAGCTTGGGTAGCCATGACATACTGCTAGGTGTCATTCATGGTTTGTGGAAGCTCTAAAGGTGTATAATCACTAAAGGGAGAATTGAAAGTAAGTTTTAATTCACAATCGATTTGAAGAGTTCTAATCGCCCACTACCTCCCTAAAAGAAACCTAATGAATTGTATACATAGTAAGGTAGAGATTGAAGAAACCACGGAGATGAGTAAGGATAATTAAATGGTTTGATTGTTTATGGCTATGATTAATTAATATGCTAATTAATTAAACGAATAAGTTCGTTATAGACCTCGAGTTTGTTTTGGGCCTCAAGGCCCAATGGGAGTTGAATGTCAAGCCCATTAACAAAAGTTGTATGACAACTTAGTGACTAAAAACTCCAAAGGGCCCAAACAGCCCAAAGGCACAAAGAGGTCGGCCATATAGAGAAGGAAATGGGTTTTGGTTCCTTTTGGTCACTTAATTGAAGGGACTATATAAAGGACTTTATAACATTTTCATAATTAGGGTTTTCTAAGGGAAGAGAAGAGAACACAAAAGCTCTCTCTTCTCTAATGAAGGTCGGCCACCCTAGGGAGAGATTACTAGCATCTATCTCCTCCTAGGCCACGCATATTTTCATCAATGCTCTCCTTGGTGTAGAGACTTAGAAGTTCTCTATTTTGGGAACTTGGAGAATCCATTCATCCATCCTCCTCCAAGAAATCCATGGAGATAAGAAGTAAGGAATGAATGCCCTCTCTCTTGCGTGATTAGCCTTTGCTTATGCAAAGAGGAATCAACAAAGGTATAAGATTTCTCAACTCACATTATTTTGAGTTAAGTCTTGGTTCACCATAAATACTAGGCTTTGAATTTCATGGGTTAAGTTTTGTTTTTGAGTGCGTACAACCATGATTCAGCCTTTTAATTGTTAATAACATGCATAGATGTTGCTCAAATGAACTAGTTTTCACAAATATATCTTTCATATAACACGTTATCAGCACGCTTTTGACGCTGTTCTAAAGAGAGTTTATTCTTCAATCATTGAAGTATTACGTTTTAATCATTCTTTTATGATTAATTTATTATTTTATTAAATTGATTAACAAGCTAATTTAATTTTTCTATGTTAAACGTGATACAACGTATTGGAGATGCAATTCTGGCTTTCTGAGAAGGATCTTTTACAAATTCAAATTCTCAATTGTTTTCTGTCAATCAGGTTCTTTTAAAATAAATTAAGATATTGGAAACGACCGTGAAATATGAAAACATTCTCCATGATGCATGAACCCCCTACATTTATATTTTCCTTCCGATAGAGATTGTATATGTTCATATATTTGTCAATATATATGTTCATGCATTACGCAATTATAAATCGCTATGTGAAATTTATGAGTCAAATAATCGAAATAAAATAGAAGCATGCTTCTTTTTTTTTGTGGTTTTGAAAACCCTAAAATCTGTTAAAAAAAAAAATAAAAGGGGAAAATTTGAGCCAAGCCGAGTTGCCCGCAAGCCAAGCTGTGCTTTTAGAGTTGAGATAAGCTACGGAGCCAAGCATTGGGGCTCCAGAACGACGACCTTGTCCTTCCGGAATCGATTTGGGCCACCACCTGCAGAGCCCAAAGTTCAAATTAATCAACGCCAACAACCTGCAATCGTCGTTCATTGGTGAAATTAGTCGTCTCCGATGACAAATCCACGAAATTCCAGTCGTAATTTCGTTGGGCTACTTCGAGATTCAACTCGAATCTTTGATTTTTTTGGACCTCTCTGATGCCGAGATCATTCTCCGTCGTTGTGCAATGGTTTGACATCCCCAATCTTCGTCTGGTCTGAATCATCGCCAAATATGGCAAGGCCACCGTCTTGTCCAACGAAGATCACACCCAGTTGCTGCTGGGTGTACCCAACCAGACCAGACACGACCATTTCTTTTTGTTTGGGCCTTGTCCAGGCTCATCCCATTTGGGCTTCATTTTTTTTGTTGTTTGTTTTGCTTTGGGCCTGTTACCTCTCAACCCATCCCGTTGCAACTTGCGGCTAGAACAGTACACATGGGCTGCCCATGTGGCCTCCCCGAGCTCAATTTGGGCCTACTTTTTCCATGTAGCCTGTAGCTACGATCGACCTCGAATGGTCTCGACCTATTGAATTAATTAAAGTGATCAGCAGTCCACTAATTTGACAAGACATCCAAAATTAATGGCATGAAGTCCAATTTTGGACATTAACGATTCAATACTTTATTTCTTTTCTTTGAATTGCTGACTCCCTTTCGTAGTGCTGAAGCACTCACACTTAAGTTCCTGAAGCAACCCAAATCCACTACACTTAGTTGTATATTGTATTATGTGTTCTTATAGCTACCTCTTTTTTTATGAACCTGAAGTTCATAAATAAACTCAAACTTGTAGTTTCAAATTTAGTGTCTTTGAAACTTGAAGTTTTCATAAAACAATACACCCATGAAAACCCAAATTTTTTCATGTAAACCATGTCTTGGAACCCGAATGTTCTAAACTTGATGCTTATGGATATTTTATTTTCTATAGCACCAATCACAATCTTGTTCCCTCCATTCAGTGGATTGTCGAACCATAACAAGGTCGATTTCACTGATTTGGACATTTCTTGACAGAAACCACTTTATGTGGGTACAAGACTTGAATCTTTACTTGACTATCAAGAAACTTGAAACTATTGAAGCCAACAATGGCATGGAAGAGCTGAATAAGCCTCTGCCACAATCTTTACTCGAAGACTTATGCCCGAAGCTTTACAAACGGAAATACCTCCCGAACGAGGATTCCATGGCTCTTTGGCTTGCTCATACAGACCTTCTAATTATGATGCCTTAAGCATATCATGATTACATCTATGAATGAGTATGATTCTAAAGTTTATAAATCCGATCAAATTTTGATTGAAGAATATTTTTCTTGTCATTCCTTGTTTCTAACTAGCTCCTGAAATAGCAATGTAGAGAACATAAGTTTACCAAATTCTCGGATCTGATTACTACCACAAATGTGAGAACGGTATAGACTCAGCTTCGGCTGGAGTCTACGGAACGGTGATACCTAATTTCAACTGGGTCCCACCAAAATGTATGCTCTACTTCGACAGAGACGTACCAAACAGACCTCTCTAGCTTTGGCTTTTGTTTGTACCATACTTGACCAATCCTGAAACTACTGAGCATCGGTCAACGTTATACCGTCAAGGACCCAGAAGAGTTTCCTTCCAACCAGGAGGCCAATCATAGCGTGACATGTGTCGACATTAGAAGCCAATCATAGCGCGACACGTGTCAACATCAGAAGCTAATCACAACACGACACATGTCAATGTCAGAACAAAGCTAGAAACTCTCTTCTATAAAGGGAGATCATTCTCTCATAATATTTCCTAATGTCATTTGTACTAAATCATTCACTAGTATTCACTAAAGGAGAGTTTGAACCTATGTACTTGTGTAAACCCTTCACAATTAATGAGAACTCCTCTACTCTATGGACGTAGCCAATCTGGGTGAACCACATACATCTTGTGTTTGTTTCCCT